GAACTCGTGTGTGAGGAACTCGTGTGTGAGGAACTCGTGTCCCTTTTGAACCACGCTGACTGTAAAAGTTGTGTCATCGCCCCCTGCTGGTTATAATGTGTATGTACGTCTTCGTTCAGCTGTGGGTTTATCTTTTTTGTTCATTTTGGCCGATTAACTTCTGTTTGTTCTGATTATTCGTATGAGTTTTAACAGCTGATGGATTTATTCTTTGTCAAGACTTTGTTTTGTTTTTGTCTGTAAAACTTTTCTCGGATGCTAAAAACAATCAGCCGTGTGCGTCAGTGACATGTGACAGGATGTGTTCACATGACCAGCATCGTCCTGACGTGACGCTGCGACAGGATCTCATGTTTCAAAATGCATTGCGAAGTTTTATGAAGTACTGTGAAGTATTATGAAGTTCTGTGAAGTTTTATGAAGTACTGTGAAGTATTATGAAGTACTGTGAAGTATTTCGGACCTTGATGATACATCCATGGCACAAACGCAGCTTCACTCATCACTGCAGCTTCTCTGGTCTGAGACAGCAGGTCGATATCATCACATTTTAAAATGATGTTTAAACATCTACCAACCGAGCGTCAGTTACAACACGATAAAAAGTGACTTTAACAACAAACACATTTTCACGTGAGTCCTTGTTTCCTACAAACTCGTTTTTACAATCGTGGCACGGCATCACATCAGGAACAAAGATCAACATGTACAAAGATTCACAAAATACAAATATAAATTTTTCGCTGTCTCTCTCTAATGTCGTCACACAAAGTTTGTGTTTCCATCAGAAAACACAGCAGCAGCAGCAGCAGCAGCTTTTCTCTGGTTCCTCCTGATCTACGTCTCCGACACTGAGATCCGATGGAGCCGCAGGAAATCCAGTCTCATCCAGTCTCATCCAGTCTCATCCAGGCTGATCCACCCGAAGGTTTGATGGGAGGAGACTGAGGCCGGTGGATGAAGGAGCATCTGAGGTCACTGCTGCTGAATGAAATGATATGAACCTTATTTGACCCTTTCGGAGTTTCTATTAAAACCTTTTGCATCATTTGCATCGACTGTTTCTCTTTTTCTTCTTCGTGGCTTCATGTTCCGACTGAAAGATATCGATCGATTCCATCTCGTTAAAAAATGAAGGAAAACTTTCCAGGACTAATGTGATTTTCTGGCGGAAGCTTTGAAACGGCACCGAGACCAAAACCCAAGACTTCAGGGCTTTAATACGAGAACAATCTCTGACGACTTTATTTTGGGGTGGATGGTTATCAGAAGGTTTTTGTGTTGTAATATAGAAACTTGATCCAGACTCTGATACCGAGGATCAGATCGTCTCAGGCTGCTCTGAACGATGAAGCTTTGTATGATAATCCCAGTTTTCTGAAGACGTCGGTGTTTCTACGACGCGGAGGCACTTTGTCTTTAAAACCTTGAAAGTCTTTGCTCCGATAAAGAAGTGACCACAGAGGTTAATGTTCTGATCCATGACTGACTCTGAGGCAGAGTTTCACACGCAGCTTTCATCCCCGTCTCTGTGGCTTCTGTCCGACCTACACGACAGTATTTCCTGCCCGGGTAAAGAGAAGTCCCTCGTTTCACCACTAGAGAGCGCAGCTCCATTCCGTAACTTTGTGATGTCGCCCAGAGGCAGGTGGGTGGAGCTGAACGCCAGCGGCGGGATGGTGTTCACCAGTATGAGCTGCAGAGGTTTTTTTGGCGGCTGGTACTGGCAGCGAACGTAGCGCAGGAAAGCTGCACGATACGTCTTGTTGAACAACGTGTAGACCAGCGGATTGACTGCAGAGGACAAATATCCGACCCAGACGAAGACGTTCAGCAGACCTCCCATGAGTCCTGCGTCACAGACCGCCGGGTCGCACACAACCACCAGCACGTTGGTAATGAAGAACGGACACCACATGACCACGAAGAGAAAAAACACCACCCCCAGGACCTTGGACGCCTTCTGCTCATTGCTGATCGACTGCATGGTGCGGCGTCCGAACAGCGAGCCTGAGACGCTCCCACGGTCGCCTCCGAGGCCGCCGCTACTCCCCCTGCCGCCGGCGTCGCGGCTCAGCGAGCGTCTGATGAGTTTTTCAGAAGACAGCGAGGTTTGTGGTAAAAAGCTCAACGTGAACGTCGTGCTCCATTTGGGCCGCGGCACCAGCTGGTCCAGACAGAGGGTGGCTTCATTCTGCAGGGCGTTGATGGTCAGGAAGTAGGTGACGACCATGATGGTGAGGGGCACAAAGAACGCCACGAAGGAGCCGACCAGCACGAAGTTGTTATCTGTCAGCAGGCAGCTGCCATCTTTAAACACCTTGGAGTGGTCTCTGAGTCCCAGCACAGGAATCGGCATAGAGATCCCTGCAGAGAGGAAGGACAGCATGAGTGTGTGTGTGTGTGTGTGTGTGTGTGTGTGTGTG